CCAGGCACGGACGGACGGTCTCACGTCTCACATTCATTATGGTCTTGCGGTGCAAACCTCTAACTAAGTACCACCTGCCACAAAAGACGGCTTTCTCTGGTCCCAAGGGGTGGTCGTTAAAATTAGCTACAGGTTTTATTGTATGAATGTGAAACCGCTTGTAGCCATTGGCGGACTATGCTCGGCCAATCGTCAAATTATGCTTTTCATTATGCCACAATTATGCCAACAAATATGCTGAATTATGCTCGGTTCCACTATGTATTCACGCTGTACATAGAGGATTGAGACACCACGCATACACACACGGCCATGCCCTAACCATATTTTTTTGTCTAAAACGAAAGATTATGCCGACATTACACGTTGGAATCCGTATATTATGCCGGAGCATAATTTTTGACGAAATCCCAAGATTATGCCAAATATCATGCCGGCATAATCCCCCAAGGGCTAACCGCCCGTGCCTGGCGAAGTGGTCTGTAGTGCCCGGCTGATCGCTAGTCACGGTGGTCTTTAGTTACAGGTTTTACTGTATATGTAGTTCTTACTACCAAATCACCACATCTGTGCATAGCACCACAACAAAACCACCTAGAGTAGAACCCGGGTTAAGGGTCACACCGGATTAGGGATCGGAGCCCGGGGGGAGGGGGGGGGGGCACTTGGGACGTACATTGTGCGGGTGGTCCTTTGGAGCCCGGGGGGGGGGGGGGTCACTTGGCATGTACATTGTGCGGGTGATCCTTATACCGGGATTTAATTTCCGGCCCAAGGGGGTCCTCGTCGGTTTCCGAGGAAGCCGTAATTTTTTTCGCTCAAAACTATTTTTCCGGGGTCCATCTACTCACGTTCTGCACACCTTTTTGCCCATCCCGGTACAACTGAGTCCAGCTACATGTATGTCCGCGCAGAGCTAGGTGGATCCCTAACCCGTGTTCTGCTCTACATATACATGTATCTCTCCTGGCACAAATACCCGCTTGGCAACATCAGGATTGTGCTATCCTCATGTTACCTGATGATTGCGTAAGCATGAAACTCAGAGCAGCGACGAACAAGCCTTGCTTGCACTTGTTGTTCGGTGCATCGTAAAATCTACTCAATCTGCGGACAGAACTGTTTCGTCCTTTGTGGACTCATCAGAGCAGCACAGAGATAATGACGCTGAACCTCATTGAAATGAAAAATAAAAAAATTCAAAGCCAGATTTAATTAAACCAGGCCAGAATCATGGTAAAATCTAAAAATTATTAAAAAATGCATGAAAGCGAAAATTGTACATCATAGCTCTTAAAATGAAATTTGGTTGCGTCTAGGCCTAGTTGCGTCAGCCAACAGAATAGAGTCTACCTCCTAAACCTTTGAGAGTCGGGCCAAGGGAATATATTTCAGCTCCTAAACCTGTGGGATTTGCTCGGGGGCGGAAGAAATATTGGAATAGCCCGAGTTTTTTTAAAACCTGAAAATCCTTAATCCTGTTCGTCGCAATATTGTTTCGTTCGAGTGTCAAAGAGGATGGATGAGAGAAAGAACCCTCTGCAGAGGCTAACTGTAACGCTATTGTACATGTATAGTCTCTATGCACTTGTAGATCACTTTTTAATCCTAGAACAGCCAATGGTGTCATTTGACACCGCGCGAGTCAAACTTTTGGAATTACCGAAATATGGCTAATCAGAGTAAGCTCAAATCTTGTGACTATTATTGTGCTTCCTCTTTCGTCTGCCATAAACCTTTGATTTGTAATTGATGAGGTACCATAATGGCGAGTACGTATACCTAGAACGGCCAACCAGTGTCATTTGACACCTGCACTATAAAAAGCCATTATTGCAGCTAGATGGAAACAATATGAACACATTTCGAAAGTGTCGGCCATATCGAGTTGCTCGTATGCCAACCAGACAAAAGAAAGGTGCATGTGCAGGAAAATTGCTGAATACAGGACAAAATAATTATATGATCAACATACAACCGTCGGGCGAGAATCGCGAATTTGGGGCGGGTAACCATTAGTGCACAGATTACACAAACACTCCTCAGCTAATGTCCTTGATACTGCTCAATCCCTTTCATTTTCCTGTAAATTGCCCCAGAGGAGCCACCGCGGTCTGACGCCAAGGAAATACTAGAACGGATGTAGCCTATTACCTTGCATGAATCTGATGACCATGAAAGCGAAATTGCCCACTTTATCTTCATTTTATGGCTGTTCAAGTGTAGTGACCATTGGCAGTGGTGGATCTGTTCTGTCGTATGAGGGCAAATCGTACGGTCACAACACCTGAGTACCTGTGGATTCAGAATGTTTTGAGGTTTACGAGCCTCCAGAGAGCGGACGAAGATTGCGGGATAGTCCAGACAAGGAATTGTCAGAAACAGTTGCAGGAGTGGTGGAGACCCCGAAATGGATAGTGTTGAGGAAGAGGAATCGCAACTCTGCAACCTGGAGATGGTACACCGCATTATCGCAAGGATGGTGCTGTGTAGATAATCATTTCTAACTACTCGACGAGCTAATAAGGCTCTTGAACCAAACCTCTTTATCCCCCGCTTCAGGCTAAACGGTAGGCAGCCGCTGGGATGCCTTCTCTCTCTTTAGAGGCCCCGGATGCTGCAGAAGGTGATTGCTCAGTAATAACTGATGACTTCATCATCAGTGCATTACTGGTCAAGAAGCTGTTGGAGAAGAAAGAGTTGCAGTATGAACCACTTTGGTAAATTGAAGTGAACTATCATCACACTTCATTGCCAATAATAGCGGATTGCATTTTGTTTTTCAAGATAACATTGTAGGGTGCAAAGACGGCAGACGTAGAAGGTAGAAGTAGCAAGAATTATCAATGGTTCGCCTAGTGTAGGCCACCTAGAGCCATATGTTTTACATGGTGAGAGTAGGAAGCCCCACATCGTCCAATTCTAGCAAAAGACGAGATATGTCCTTGACCGTTTCAATCGAATGTGATGGATCTACTCAACAAAGACTATTCCAGAAGATGTCCCCCTGCAAGGCGGTTACATAAATGAATAGATGTGACAGGCATCAACGCCTTCACAATATCCCAGACCTTTGCTAGTTCATGCACATCCAGAAAACGCTCATTCCTGCACTGGTCAATAAGCTTGTAGATAGTCATGGCATCTGGTTGCTAAGTGCCAGCCAAGGAGAAGAGAAGGGTATACCTCTTTGAAAGAGTCTAAAATGCAGTCGTTACTAGCCTAATCTTGAAACCATGTCTAGCAGTATTTGTGTCAGCTTGGTGAAAAAATGATGCTCATAGTCAGTCCATGTTTGTACTTGTTACTGTGTGTCATTCATCGTGACGGTCGAGTAATCCGATTATGCCAAAGCACATATTCCTGAAAAGCAGTTCCCCATGTGCCCAGTGACGTTGACACATTGCTTGTTATGATAGCTCTGTGATTATAAGACATTCCTATGCAAGTAATTGAAGTTTTGCCAGTAATTGAGTTCATCCTTCGCAATTGCCGTAACGCGTACATCGTTTTTTAGTTGCGTATAGCCAACAATAGTGTCTGTGTGAATCCTAAAGTGTTGTGTACATCATAAATTCCGCTAGTAATAGCCAGCACTGAAAACAAAAACTATAATAACCTATATCATAGGTCTTAGACATGGAAATGTATGCAGGTGTCAAATGACACCGTTTGGCCGTTCTAGGAGTACTGAACGTGGTGGCCGTCCTAGGGTTAAAAACACGTTCGTGGGCGCTGACTAGGGACCGGCGGATTCTGCTCGAAAAGGTGGCAGATTCTGCTCGAAAAGCAGTACAATTGGCAGAACCATACAAACCTTATGGCGGGCAATTCCTCGAATTCTGCTCCATTTCTTTATCCACATACCAAACATGCATGAAACTTACCGGAAAAAGTACCGAATTCTGCCAATTTTTCTGCCGGCAGAATCCGCTGGACCCTAGTGCTGACTGCCAAAGCTGGTTACAGGAGTACAGGAAAGCTTGCCTGTATGACAAGGCAGCGGACATCTTGAAACTCTGCAGCCGGATCTTCACCAGCTGATTGATACAGCTTGGGAGAGGATACCATGGAGCCAGTGCTGCAGCTCCATTTGCAAATTGCGACATAAAGGACACACATGTGGCAAGACTGGACGAGACTTTCAAATGCTCTTATCCAAATACTTTACTACAATCATCTAGTTGATTGTTCCAACTAGGAACACACGCTTCTTGCCGAACTTGACACTTGACTGACTCACGACTGCCATCAGGAGCACACCAGGAGCACGTCGCACCTTCCACTCGGGAAACCTGCAAGAAAGCACCACTCCCTGCTCAATACACGGTGTTTCGGGGAATTCACCCTTCATCAGTTGAGCTTGAGTAGGCTGAGGAAGATTGTGCCTGAAAAGCACCACTTATATACTGCTCTCCAGGCCAAACCATCACCAGGGATACAAACTTACAGAGACGCTTTGTTTCCAGCGCGAGAAACACCTTGTGAAGCTCCAGGTAGCAGCGTGAGTCAGAGTCGCTCATGGAGTTGTGATAAACAGACGTTGAGAGCCAGTATAGCTATTCGCAACGCTGTCACCTCCAACAACTAGTCGCACGTCCGCGTGAGGGACTACACTACGAACTTACAAGAAGCGTGTGTTCCTAGTTGGAACAATCAACTTCATGACTATTACCGCCGAAGTCGCAACTTCTACTTGTAAGTTCGTACAATCGTCTATTCAAGGAATACTTCGAAGCCAAAATAGAAAGTAAGATACGGATCATGCCCGAAGAATTCTAGGAACACCCGGTCTCTCGCCGACGAGCAGTGTATCCGATGTATCTTCCATTTTGGTTTGTTTACGATTCTCTGATGGGCACAAGCCAATAGTGTGGGCCGTGTCTCAGCATGGCATCACCTGGCCGTCGAAATTCATGCAGGACGTGGTGGTGGTGGTGGTAGGGGTGGGGCGGCGTTGAAACCGCACAAACCACGGTCGCTGATTGCTTGCAGTGAGGTTCTTTTATTAATTTTAACATTAATTTTGTCAAAGTTGTCCATTCAGATGAAAAGAATGTACAGTCATGTACAAGTAGAACTGAATGAGAGTGGTGAACTAACTACCGGAAAGAAAGAAGGAAGCAAGCAAAATTAATATGGATGAGATGCGAGAACTATTTTCGCAGCAGTGAACAATTGGAGCGGAAATCAAGCAAACCAGCGGCAAACTCAGAGAGGGTGGCTACACTTTGAATGCTTTGAAAAACATACTGAGAATGTCTAAGACAGTATTCTAGTGCTCCGTGTTGCTCCACTCGGAATCCTACCTAGAGATGGAACCCCTCATAGTGACATAAATAATAAGAACTTCCAAATACCTCAACCTAAACGAATGACAAGAAGACTTAGTATAGAGCAAAGGAGAGGAATGGAAAGTGACAGTTGCGCTGAGATTGAGCAGAGCATTACAATTCCGAAATTACTGCTGCAGATTTCCTCACCTGCCGGACTGGATCCAAAGCTCCTAAATAATACAAAAAATATTGATGCTGAAAGCATCATCCCTAATGTGAACTAGCTAGATAATTCAGAGAGATTGTAAGTGTACGAGAGAGACTTCAAGGTGAACAATTGATACAGCCAGTGGAATAAAATACCAGCCGAGACGTGTAGATGGAGTTGAAGATGACGGTTGCGCTGAGATTCGGCAAAGTATTACATTGTCCTCTGCAGGCATAGGCTGACCCATAATGTTTTTAGGCGTGCAAAGGGCGTACGATTGGTTTTCAGATTTAAATTTCCGCACCTACCGGACTGGTTCCAACGCTCCTAAATTTTAATAATACAAATAGTATTTACACTGAAAGCCTCATCCCTAATGAGAGCTAGACAATGCAGAGAGATTGCAAGTGCAGAAGAGAGACTTCAAGGTGAACAACTTACACATCAAGTGGAATAAATATCAGTCGAGAAGTTGAGATACAGAGAGAAGCTTGCTAGAAAAAAAACGCACCGGTAATTGCCTAGAGGCTGCGCTATTATTCAACACAGGCTCAGGCGACGACTCAGCCTGCTCTGTGGCTACTCAATGGCGCCATAAAGATCTTCTATCTCATCGGTGCTGTGATGGGGGCCAGTTTTAATATCCGGAAGATCGGAATATATGTCTTTATCCTCAATGGGGTTTGCTGATTGGAAAAGTTCTTCGGGAAGATCAGAATAGATAGCTTCGCTGTCATTGATAATGTGCTGAGGGCCAGGCATGTTTGACATTGAGTTTGTTGTCTGGAATGGTTGTTCAGGGAGATCTGAATAGATATCCTCACTATCGTTGGCAGTGTGGTGAGGGTTATTTGCAATTGGTTTTGTTGGTTGAATATTTTCACCAGGTAGATCATCATAGACCTCCTCCTTTATAGCACTGGATATCTCGTAACGCTCGTCATCAGATTGTGTTGCAGTTACTGTTTTGTTGGCTACCTTGTGTCCAGCAGCAGTGCCGATCTGTCGTGCAATAAAGCCGCTCTTGATCTTGTTTGTTTTCGCATAGCTATTGCGGCCATCTAATCCCTTGTCATATTTGAGCTTGTCAATTTCTGTTAAATCGCGACTGGCGTTGGATGCGTTGGACTGGCCGGTGCCAGTGGAAGTGGCCAATAAGGTGTTACTACCACTTTCGACAACGTCATAAACATCCTCTGCAGTGTCCAAAGGAGCATGGCGGTCACTTCCTGCGGTGGAATGGCTCATGCTGCTGGCAGTGGTGCAACTGGCAATGCTGAATCCGTCATTCACTCTAGCTTCGTGAGTAGTTGCTGTAGATCCAGCAGGCGCTTGGTTACCACATTGCTCAATTCCTCTCCCTTGCAGTAAACTCAGAGAGGTTTCTTTACCTTGCCCTAAGCCAGAAGCATGCTTGTCAGCAATGTGGTCATTTGTTCCTGGTTGTGAGCGACAATTTGATGTCCTTAGAGATGCGATGTTTGAATATACTTCAACACAGGTGAGGTCAACAGAGACAGTTTCACTATCCAATGTGAAGCCAAGGAGTTGAGCTTCCTGATTAGACTCTTGGTCACACTGTTTGGAGGTGACCAAACTGGACGCCATATTGTCGTGCAAGCAATCCTGTATTACTAAACTCTCTTCGTAGACCTCCCCGTCGTTGACATTGGACAATGCCGCTGTCCCCCGGGAAACCTGATCATCTGACAAGATGTGTCGGCGATCTGACTTTGCAGCCGGTGAGCGCAACATAATTGCAATGCTCTCTGGAACATCATCGTAATAGTCCACGTCAACAACTGAAATTGCCATTGATGCTTGTTTCACAAGCGTACTCGCCTCAGGATTGTGCCGTTCCTTGTATGCATTGTAGTACTTGTCAGTACTTCCCTCAAAGGGTGTTCCAGCAGGACCTTTGTTTAGCAATTTTGTCGCGCTCTGCGATGGCCGATCTTTCCTTTCAGTCATAGCTAGATCGCCTGCAGCATTGGAAGACAACAGCAGAATTGCATTGTGTCAGGGATCTGTGGAACAAAACGAGCCAGCAGTAAGAAGAGTATATAATAACTATAAACCTAACCTCACCACTGCCTACAACAAGTGGGTGACTACATAAATTGTGCTCTCCCTGGTCTCTCACTTTCTCTTTCTGAATATGTATGGGGAAGATTGCATTTTAAGTTACAGAGACCACAGGAGATGACCGTGGGAAATTGACTGGTGTTATTACATTGGCTCTGCTTGTGATGTGTGTCTTGTGATGACAGCACATCTCATCTTAGTCACAGCCTTCTCTTTTCTTTCCTTTCATCATGCATAAAATCATAGGAAACTCTTTCTAAGAGTTGGTAACCAATGAGATGGGAATGGGATGGGCGTCATGTTTCCCATAATGTTGAGTATGAAGTAGTATGTATCCACCAATGTTGAACCCCTATTTCGGATCCTCTTGCATTCACTGCGCTGATAAACGCAACCTGGCACTCGAATAATCGAAACTAACGGTTCAAAGGAATGTGTGATCTGTTGTGATCCAGTGCTGCGCTGATGTAGTCAATGTGTTGATGAAGATTCGGGGGTAATGAAGGCCCATCAATGGCCGCTGCACTGAACTTTAAATATCCGCATCGACAGTGGCCACCCATTTCAACCTACATGGTGAGATCCTCCTTCTTCAAACTGTAGTCATTTTTCAATAGGCGACGTGGAGACAACGATTTACGAAATGCAATTATGATCACCGCACAACATGGAAGTCTCTGTAAAACAATTCAAACCCCAGCATGCTGTTGGATAGTGCGACAACAATTTGAAAAAAAACTGACAAGGATTTTGAGTCATTCAATGACCTGACACCTACAGTAGCTCTGACACATCTAAGTAGCACAAACAAGTAACCTTCCAACTGGGAAACGTCAGGTGCGGAAAGGTCCAATGAAGGGGACATCAGACTGTATTATCTGAATGCCTTGGGGGACTGTTGGTCGTAACTAGAAACTTATTGGTCCTTTCTATTAAATACCTAATAAGCTAAGCTAATAAGCACCATAGCGTAATAAATAGGGCTGAAACGATCGTGGATTTTCATGTATCGATTACTCTTTAGCTTAACGATCGAGTAATCGATTATAATCGTTAGCAAATAGAGTCATAATTCTGTGCAAACATTACTCTGTTTCCACAAACTATGCCTTCATGATACCAACAAATCTGCATTAGTGAAAGGGTAGCTCCGAAACATGGCACTTTTGAAGTCAATTTAACCTCAGAACATGAACCATACCCCTGGCAACTGCATACTCCCAGCGGAAACTGATTCAAACTTCACAAAACGAGGGTTTACAGTACTTTCTGGACACAAATTAAAAAAAACGCAAAATAATCGTAATCGGTAATCTAAACGATTGCTCGATCGTTAGAGTTATCAAACGAGTACTCGATTATTCGGTATACTCGTTTCAGCCCTAGTAATATAGAAATCTATTTGGTGGAATACAGTCAACTTCGTTTATAACGACATTCGGCTGGGCATCAAAAAAGTGTCCTTATTCGCGAAGTGTCGTTATACCCGAAGTCTCATTATATGTATTACAGTTGGATGGAACTTTGCTCTGGGCATGGACATTCTGTCGTTATTCGCGAATTGTCGTTATATCCGCAGTCGTTATTAGCGAAGTTGACTGTATGCCTGTCTGGGAGGTAGAGCTTTGAGCTATGGATCTACTGTCCTTGTGTGTTTATAAGCTATGTATCTTTGTGTGTTTATGAGCTAAAGGTTGTTTTATTTTACCTTAACCCTTCGCATGCTGGACAACTTTTCACCAATCCACTGGCTTTTCAGCGCCCTGACTCTGTGGGTGGATTTGCGCTCACAGCTCTGAACGAAATATATTCTCATTTCACTCCATATCGATGGATTTTCATCATCCTGGGCTCGCTGGACAGATCAGGACCAAACAAATCCATCTTGGCAGCTCTCAGCTCCATACATACACCAGGGCCACTTCCACCTACTCTCCAAACTACTCCACTGTGCCTTGGAACGGCACAACAACTCAATTTCACATTCTTGTTTGGCTTCTTGCCCAAATTCAACCGATTTTCACGATTTGTATTGTATTGTATTTATTTAAAAGGATTCTCCAAAAGCAAATGGATGCTTATCACGGAAGTCTCCCACATAAATATCGCAAGAAAAATGGGGAAATGGGGGAGAGGAGAGTGGAAGATGAAGTATGGGAAGAAGGAAAACAAGTACCTAAATATCGAGGTATAAAAGCAGGAAAGAAATCGACGAGGGAAGAAATCACCTCTGCAGATAATAGCGGGACATTTAGATGAAAAAAAACCCAGCAAGGATTAATTTCAAGGAAAAAAAATTTCTCAAACGGAAAAGTTCGGAATTCCAGTCAGAGAATATCTATGCTGTGAGTAATGAGCCTTTAGAGCAATGCGAAAATTGACAGAGGACTGAACGCAGCGGATGTGTTCTGGAAGTTTGTTCCATTCCACAGATAAACTGAAGAGAGGGGATTTAAGGAAATGGGCGCCAGGACGAGGTAAAACTATAGAGGACGGGTGACGACAACTAAGGGATGCATTGAATTTGAAACGAATTAGCAAAGACGGAAACTGGTAAAAGACATGATGAAAATACAGCAAGGACAGAATCTGACAACGCCACTTCAGGGATGACCAGTCACAAGTACGATTAAGAATCTGCTTCGGGGTTTCCCACTCAGGAGGGTGCCGGGTCTTACAAAGCAGATATGAACGATTCAAACTGCGCTGCAAAGCTGAGATCCAAGCGCCTCATTTGATGTCCATCACGCATGCGTTGTGCCAAAGGGAAATCCCCTGGCACGCTCCAAAAAATGCGAAGTCATGAACAAAAAACTCTGGGCCGTGATTTCTGTGTTCATCTTGTCGCCGCTCGGTGAATCTCTATCCAATCGCGAAGCACGTTATATCCCCGGAAAGATGAGGTCAAGACAGTGTATTGATTGTCGGTGCGTTGATGTTTGACAGAGTTACGATAGCTTGTACAGTGATATATGCACTGTGATGCATCGCGCGAATGTTTTTGCGAGTTAATTTGTGTGGATCAGCACACTTCAAAAGCGCGAGTTAACTCGTACTCAGCACGGAAAGGTACAAGAGGGCCTGAAAGCTCTGGAGCCCACGCTGTGCTTTGCTTTTACCTCGGTCATCATGTGGGTTATTCAAAACGGATCAAGATGTCTATGCAATACCATTATCGCGTACATGTTTTTATATGGCCAAGATGTTTCTATCAGTTCGAATAACACACATGATGACTTGGGTAAAAACAAAGGATTCTCCAAAGGCTAAATTTCTATCTGAAGGTTCCTCAGGATCATGCAAGTCTGTGAGCATGGTAGGGATATGTTCTTCTATCGACCAGATGGGACCTCACGGAGCTTGTAGACACTAGCACCAATATAGCTCTTCTGAGGAGTTCCCTTATTTGCTGTCGTGGGATGTTCCTGGTGAGCTGTTCATGCTGGTGACCACAAGTGTACTGTTGTCGCGTATTGTTGAAAGAAGTATCTATTACTACTATGAATCAAACCAACCAAAAGAAGATGGCATCAACGAATCAGTAACGATTGTGGTGACCACCTTCTTTCAACAGTAGTCATGGTGATGACCACCTGCCTTCAACAGTAGTCATGGTGACGCCACCTTCTTTCAACAGTAGTCATGGTGACGGCCACCTTCTTTCAACAGTAGTCATGGTGATGGCCACATTCTTTCAATAGTAGTACTCCATTCAGGCTTGACCGCACAGCACACGGTGGTGGAGTTGCAATCTGGGTGCGATCTACTCTCCCAGCCTTGATCATCGATGAACTGGCCGCCCCCCAGCATGAAGTCTTGTGGGTATCCATCCAGCTCAGCACCGGGCACAAGATTGTCCTGGGAGGTGTCTACTGGCCGGGTTCTTGCGGGCCCGGTGACCTCTCACTTATCCATCATCTCGACGACACCCTTCCTTTGGCCCGTCAACACGGCGCTAGTCTCATTCTTGCTGGGGACTTTAACGTTCACAACCGTGCCTGGCTAAACAACTCTAAGACCACACCGGCGGGCGAAGCACTTCAGGACACTTGTGCCGCGCACCTTCTTACGCAGCATGTTCAGACTCCTACTCGTGGCGACAATACCCTTGACCTCGTGATGTCTACCTTCAACTCCCCACTATTGACAACCGCCACACCCTCTCTTGGGCGGTCTGACCACGTTATCGTTCTATCCGACTTCGTAGGCATATTACCTTGCCACGAACCTTCAGCAAAGCGAACTGTCTGGCGGTACAAGAGCGCAGACTGGCATCGCCTCCGATCTTTCCTTCGCAACTCTCCATGGCACGACATCATAACTGATGACCCGGACATCTCCTGTGAGCGGGTAACCACCACTATCAGAGGAGCAATAGCCAGGTTTGTCCCATCTAAGGAACTTACCATGAGGCCGAGTGATCCAAAATGGTGGACACCGGAATGTACAGCTGCTATTAGGGGAAAGGACAAACGTTGGCGTTCCTGGAGAAAACACCCGAACGATCTTTCACTCAAACAAGCTTTCCTCCGCTCCGTTACCACAGCCGTCAACATACTAAGGCGATCCCAGGAAGCTAAAGAGGCCAGTATCCGTCACAGCCTGTCCACGGGCTCACTCAAGGACAAAGAATGGTGGACCAAGTTAAAGTATGCTAGTGGGGAGGGACGTAACACGTACATTCCTCTCATTGTTGATGCGGGCGGACGAGAGTTGGCAACAAGCCATGAGAAATCGGAGGCCTTTGCCACCTTCTTCTCCAGGAAGTGCAGTGTCACTGGCCAGGATCTTACTTCTGACGACTTACCTGACCTTGTTGCAACCGGAGCACCGGCACTCGCAGCCGTTCATTTTCGCCCCGCCACTGTCTACCGTCTGCTAGCGCGACTCGACATAT